TCAGCAGGATGTAAGTATACATATGGGAATTTAGCATGAGTCACAATTGAGGTTCACTGAATTTATAAAGTAGGGCTGTTACATTTATAAAGTTACATAAAATGCAAAGGTACTCAATACCTTCTCCTAGGAGTATAAACAGATTGCTAGTTGAGGGTGCTGACAGAATCCTTCCATGTGATTAACAAGTTTAGAGAGGGTATTTGGAAGAGAAACATACATATATGTTTGTATGTCATATACCAGCCTTTCAAAAGGCAGAAAAGGAAGTGCAGAAATTGGGAAACCAGGAAATGAGAGTAAAGTTTTTAAGGAGGAGTAGAACCATGCTGAATCTTAATGCCGATTTACTTTGAAGGCAATTATATGCAACCAAACTAGTTTCTGAAAAACAGGCAGAGTTGGAAGAGATTTTATTGTCAGCACATCTTGAGAAAGAAGATGTGAGATACTTTAGAAGTCAGAAAAAACATACTTGTCTGTAAATACACACAAGCCCAAGAAATAAAAATCAAGAAGTATTTTATTTGTGATCCTTTGAATGTGTTAGCAACATGTGAAGCATAAAATGGGGGAAATAAGTAAAAATCCCAGCATTATTTTGGGTCTTTTTACTATAGGAGATAATGAAAACCTTAACTAGATGTGAGATCAGAAATAAAAACAGAAGTCTTGCTCCCAGTTGCATCATTAAATCTTGCCTTTCCTCGTTGGATAGTAACATAGAGGAAGCTCTGTTCTTGCATACAGTAGGAGTATGTGGATTACAGAATACGCTGGTTTTCTGATCTCAGCTGAAAAATATATAACTTGCAGAACACAGAACTGTAGGGGAGAGGCAGAAAAGCTTGGATATTTCATAACTTTCCAGGATGTCTGTGTTTTAGGTGTATGCTGGTAAATTGATTTCAAATTTAATTTGCAGACACCAGAAACCCTGCCTGGACATACCAAAGCAAAACACCATTACAGAGAAGATGCAGAATGGCTTAAAGGTCAGCAAATAGGTCTTGGAGCTTTCTCTTCCTGTTACCAAGCTCAAGATGTAGGAACAGGGACATTAATGGCTGTAAAACAGGTAAATACTTCACATACTTCATTTTCTTGAATATGTTGTGCTTGTTCTTCAATATTTCTTTGGAATATTAAATATAAAAGCTCTCTGCTCTCACAGACTTTGTGTCCCTTGCTTCCTATGCTTCGTCACGTTTTCTCACATAATAAAACGTCTTTATGTGCCTATAATGTTTTATAATGTCGTATGACATAATGTTTTCAGGTTTTTACTTCTTAAAATGAAAACAAACAAAAACCCTCGTATTTTTTTTATATGCACGCTTTTTTTCATAGTTCTTCAAATGCATTTTTACTTTTATCAAGTCCATAAATGAGCAACAGAGTTAAGAATGTAGCCCAGATTTGCTGATTCCAAATGCCATATATGCAAGGTAGCTATTAAAACTAGTTTCCCCTTACTTGTCAAGTTTGGTTTGGTTTTTTGGGGTTTTTTTTTTTTTTTTGGGTGTTTATTTTAATATAAAATAGTTTAAGTAGAGGCAATGTAGTTTAATGCTTGTTTCCTCTGATCTAACAGCAAACTCTGAGGCAAGTAGTTTTAATATTTAAATGAGTAGATACATAATTGTGACTGAGAAGAGGCCCAAATGCACATTATCACTCAGGATTTTTGAAGGTTCTAGATGTGAGTGTATCTTTGACGCTTAAGATGCCCTAGGTCTAAATCAGTGATACCAACACACAGAGAATTGTAGTTCTACCATTTCATTCTCGAATTGGTAAGAAAATTATGGTTAGGGAACAGAGCAATTTCAAGACATTTAGTCAGGGAAAGAATAGCTGCCATCAGCTATTCCTTCTTTGAAACTCTCTTATCTGTGAAAGAGTAGGATTGTCCATGTAGACCTTTAGGCTCCTCCTGGAGATACGAAGTTGACTCTGATGCCCAGAGGACATTCTCTGCAGCATACTGTTATTTCAGATTTAGTATGGATCAGAGCTGGGGTTGGCTCCAGTTCCATTACACAACTGCTGATCTGTTTTCCTCACCATCATCACACCCCAAGTGAATTTCTGGGATAAAAGGTTTAGTTATGGAAAAATAGGTTGCCCAAGGAAGTTGCGAATGCTCCAACCCTGGTGGTGTTCAAGGCCAGGTTGGACAGAGCCTTGAGCGACATGGTTTAGTGTGTGGTGTCCGTGCTCGTGGCAGGGGGGTTGGAACTAGATGATCTTAAGGTCCTTTCCAACCCTAACTATTCTATGATTCTATGAAAAGCTAGTATAGTATTGAAGTCATAAAAACCTGACAAATAATGTTGTCAGAATCACATTTCAATCCTTACCTTTCTTCCTTTTCTTCAACATCTGGCTTTTTTTTTCTAGTTGATGCAGAGGAGAGTGAAGAGGGAAATTTCCCCACTCCATACTTGGAGATATTTCTGTTGATATTTCCCCAGAAGATCACTCTCAATTTTCTGTGACTATCTCACATGGAAATACATTCTCAGATGAAAAAGCTTGAGATAAAAATAATTGCTTTTTACAGATGGTGAAAAGGGATGGAAAACCATCCATTCTTGTTACTGTAATGAAAGGGGGGTTACAGGACTGGTGAATTATGTATGGTAAGTCTGAATACTGTGTTTCAAAACAGGTGACATATGTCAGAAACACATCATCTGAGCAAGAAGAGGTAGTTGAAGCACTGAGAGAAGAAATAAGAATGATGAGTCATTTGAACCATCCTAACATTATTCGAATGTTGGGTGCTACATGTGAGAAGAGCAACTATAACCTCTTTATTGAATGGATGGCAGGTAAACAACTACAGTGCCAAAGAAAATGAAAATATTGGTTGAGTCCAGAACTATGTAATTTCATACTGCCTTTTGCATCACTTCAGTTTGCAAATTTGTATCATCATTGCTCTTGGTAACCAGTGTAAAAGTGTACTTACAGAACAGCTTGAGTGCTCATAGCAATACTACTGGTGCATCCTTCTTTTGATTTGGAATCTTCCATATCTAATCTGTCATATAGTTAAAGCAGTAGGAAGCCCTGAACAAAAGTTCTACTATTTTCTCCCCAATTTCTGAAGTCAAATAGGGAATTAGAAACTTGGCATTGGAACAGGCTGCCCAGGGCAGTGGTGGAATCGCCATCCCTGGAAGTGTTCAAAAACCATGTAGACAAGGCCCTTAGTGACATGGCTTAGTGGTGGGTTTGGCAGACCTTGGGTAATGGTTGGACTTGATGATCTTAAAGGTCTTTTCCAACCTGGTTGATTCTATGATTCTGAACAGTTGCATTTTTGGTGCATTTTTTACTATAAAGTTTGCAATACCTGTCACTTGTTTTTGTCCCAAGCATTTCATGAAATTGTGTGAGTAACAAGCCAAAGACATTTAAGAACTTCAAGTAAATTTGTAATTTACTAATAAGAAGTCAGCAGATGCTTCTGGAAAAACATGTTCAAATGTCAAGTAGTAATTTAGTAACAAATAGTAAAATCTTTTCATTAATGTGTAGAGCAGAGACAAGAAAGTCTATATCCTTTTTTTTTCAAGAAGGAGTTTTATTAATTTTGTGATGAGATTATATGTTCAGTTTGCTAAGACTATATTTGGTGTTCGCTATGTCCTTATTTCTTACAAAAGAAAGCATTGCACCTTAACGTAAGTTCTTTGGCAGAAACCACTTAGCAATACCTTTGCTAACAAGCAAAGCCCAAGTAGGTGTTATTATAAGTAACATAGAAAATATTTTCTGAAAACCAAGGGTGGGTTTGTTGTTGGTTTGGGTTGTTTTTTGGGTTTTTTTTAGTATAGTTTTCCTGACATATTTAGATAATGAAATGTCAGGTTGTCTTTACCTCATTCAAGCCGAACTTCTATTAGAATACTTTGAGAGGCACAATGGAAATAAAAAAATCTTGAGGATCTATATACCAGCTGGTGGGGGGAGATGGGGAAGAGGAAGATAATGCTTTTTCTTGCTTGTTTACTTGCTTCTGTGTACTTAGATAGAAACCAAAGTAAATTAAGATCCTCAGAGAGAGGGCTTGCTGGAAGTCCTTATCTGATGCACCAAAAAAAGCTGCTGCTTAAAAGTTACTGCAAAATATGGATAAATAGATGTCTTTAACGTGTACAGTTCCAGGTAGAAAGTAATTAAGTATATTACTTTCTGCCTATAACACTTTTATATGTGTTGGGGGAGGGGAAGAAATCTAATTATAAATTAGGGATACCAATACCAAGTTCCAATTTCAGGAAGCAGTGCTGCATTCTACTAATACAAAATGTAAGTGATGATAAAATGGTTTTGGTTTGTTGTTTTTTGTTTTTTTATCTTCTAGGGGGTTCAGTTGCTCATTTGTTAAGTAAATATGGAGCCTTCAAAGAATCGGTTATTATTAATTACACAGAACAACTGCTACGTGGCCTTTCTTACCTCCATGAGAATCAGATAATCCATAGAGATGTCAAAGGTAAAAATTACCTGGAATGTCTTTTCAAAAGGTATATTCAGAAAGCAGCAACCTGGAATGTCTTTTAAAAAGGAATATTCGGAAACCAGCATCTCTTTTGGCTTGAGACCTATTGCTTCTCTCAGATAACATCTTAGGAGTGCCGTTTCTCTTGTATTTCTCTGATCATTCTTAAGAATCTTTAATTACTTAAATTAATCAGGATGTTCATAGCATGCTTGGGGATATTTGCTACTTGTGCTGACAGCTTAGAAAAATCGGTTTTCTAAATTTGTTCAAATACAGTGTAAATTGCCATGTAGCTTTGAAGATAGCTAGTTTAACATAAATGTCTACACTGAAATAGTAGTAACATCTGTGAACAGACCAAGATAAAGGGGTCAGGTTTCCAATGTATAGGAATACTGTGATGAGTTTTCTTCCTTCATCCTAATTGAACATAAATACAGTTTATTGTGCTTGAGCAAAATGTGGACTTGATTGGGGAAATACCAGTCTTACTAACTTTTCCCTTTAATGTCACTGTAACTGTCCATGAACTAGTGAGATACCCAGATAAGTAGCAACGTAGCTATGGCAAATATTTGTCTTTCAACATTTGTTCTTGAAATAGGAAAACTTAATTCGCTCTCTAATTCTCTTCAAGACAACACAAACTTGCTTAAGGATCAAATAAGTTTGAATTTCACAGGGAGCTGCAGACAATGAAAACCTTCAGGGTTTTCAGTCACCATTTTCTTTCATTATTCCATCTCCAGGCATTGCTCCAGAATCCTGTGTTGCCCTACTTTGAAAGTTTGATTGCTTCTCTAAATCTCTGACAGCCTCAAGCTGTGTGCAGTATCATTCAGGCGTAACAGAAAACAGACATTATCAGACTTTGTCCTTGATTTTTAGATTTCCTTGATACTGGGGGTGAAATCTATGCATAGTTTTGAAACAGAGGGTGGAAGAGTGTCTATTCATCCTTTTGCCTTTAACAGAAAGCCAACTAGCAATATTTTTATTATACTGTTGACAGGTGCCAATTTGCTAATTGACAGCACAGGTCATAGATTAAGAATTGCTGATTTTGGAGCTGCAGCCAGGTTGGCATCAAAAGGAACTGGTGCAGGGGAGTTTCAGGGACAATTGTTGGGAACTATTGCATTTATGGCACCAGAGGTAAGAAACCAGTTTTGGAAGTTACTTCAAAAACTTTGTTTAACCTCTTTGAGCTAATTCATACAGCCAAATAACAGAAAATTGCTGTAGATGCTTCAAATATGTTAAATGTACTTGTTACAAAGAATGATTCCAACATGGCAGTAATGAAATTTCTTTCTTGCTGTTAGAGTTGGTTTAATTAGTTTTTTACAAGATATATCTATCAAAGTATTATCACAAAAGCGCAAACAACCATTTGGACAAAAGGTAATTATTGCAAGGTACGCATGCTTTTCCCCTAATCAGGCATTTTATTTACTAGCTCTCTACAGCTGTATAAATCTTAGAACATTTACAGCACTGATCACTGTTTCAACCTGAAATGTCAATCAGAGTGCACTTAGCTGATGATATTGGAGTTTTTACATCTAAATCACTTAAGAGTTAAGCAGATAATCTGAGCTTTGGTCTGTCTGTCTGTTTAGGTTCTGAGAGGCCAGCAGTATGGTAGGAGCTGTGATGTATGGAGTGTTGGCTGTGTTGTTATAGAAATGGCATGTGCTAAACCTCCCTGGAATGCAGAGAAACACTCCAATCATCTTGCTCTGATATTCAAGGTGAGGTATTTTGTTGCTACCAACACGCTACAAAAGATGCTGACTAATTTCATATACAGCAATATGAATTACAGAAAAGTATGCAAGTAGTAGGGGTTGTGGTGATAGCTCTTCTTTATATTGGAGCTGTTAATACAAAATCAGTATCAACATACTTGCCTTTTTTTTGTTTGTTTGTTTTATTAAAGCAATAATGATCTTCAGATGGCAGTAGAAAATACACTAAGTGGAGAAAAGTTTATAAATACAACTTGTCAGCTGAAAATTGTAAGCTTCTGGAAGGTTTTGGAGGTAAAAGAGGGTGCTTAATTGACTTCTAAAAAGTTATTTTCCCTTTGTTCAGATTGCGAGTGCAACTACGGCTCCATCAATCCCTACACATCTGTCTCCTGGCTTGAAAGATGTGACTCTTCGATGTTTAGAACTTCAACCTCAGGACAGACCCCCATCAAGGGAGCTGCTGAAACACCCCGTCTTCCGTACTACGTGGTAGCTTCTTATGTACAAGGCTGATACATTGAAGAAGATGCTACTGTATATATAATAACTGTCTCATAGTGCAGTTAAGCACAGCAAATTCTATTACTCTGTTGGCCTTAATAACAGATATATCAAGGACTTAAGGCCAGTGGAGGACCCTATCTAAGTATGTGATTGACAAATCAAGATCTTTACCTAAGCTCAGTATGCAATGTTTCACAACTTGTACAGAGATTTGTAAACTGTGCCTTTTTCAAACATCTGGCTCTTTGTGAACACAAAAGCATTCTTCCTTAAATCTGCATGATTATTTAGCAGATAAGTGATTTTTATTTTATTTGGAGCACTTTTTCAGCAATATTAGCAGCTGAGGGGCTCAAGACTATTTTAATATAGCAATCACTGTTCTATTTTACACCATGTAGATGTAAGCAGAGGTTTCTGCAATTAGTCAGTTTTCAGAACTGGTTCAAAGGAAGTTCTGTGTTTGTCCCTTTCAATTACACAAAGTTCTCTGAGTAACAAATCCAAACATTGATGGACACTTTAAAAAGAAAAACATTTTGCCTTCCTTAAAGTACGATCAGGCAGTTATGGTTCACTGTGCATTTACTGCTAGCCATGTAATTTCTTTTGAAATTAGTTTGTTTTCATTGTATTTTTAACTTTGAGATAAAGGGGATATTTTAAAATAGTCTTTAGAAAAGATGCAAGCTGTGTCATGGAACATCGTTGTGACACAAGAGTTTTAAAAACAGATTTGCTGGAAATCTGGAATAAAATAAAATACCACCTTCAACAAGGTAGTGTTGAAGGCTCTGATAGTAAAAGTTATTTAAATAAACAATTTAGTCTGAATCATGCTAAAAGTTGCTGAGCCTTTTTATATAGCAGCTTCTTCTGGCAAATCATGTAGAGAAGTCTCATGTCAAAGGCTCTAAACCCAGTTCCCATTAAAGTTTATGGGAGGCTTTGTCCTGTACTTCAGTGGGAGCAGGTGCAAACTATGAGCAAATCTCATTCTTTGTATAACAAAGCTGAGGTCACATTCTCTACTGATAAGTTTTACCTGCTGTTTTCCTTCTGCCGTACATCATCTATTTACTGTAGCCATTAGAGATAATTTAATTTGAAAATGTTAAAAATACTACCACAAGAAAGGTATTTATTTTAACAAGAAACAAACTTGGACTTGAAAAGCAAGATAAAGTAAAATGTGAAGTAAAGCTTCACCTCTAGTGCAAAACTTGTGGGGTTTAGCAGGTGTTTTTTTTAAAAACAGGTTTTTAAAATTATTTTAAAGGCAGGTTTTTAGATTCTGATGCATGTAATTCTGAAGGAAAATGGCAGCTTTTCTTTTGCTTTTTTTAAAGGGGATCTTTTTAAATCAAATACTGATTGTGTTTAATCCATTTGGAGAAAAATACTGTTTGTCTTCTAACTCTTCAGAAGCCAGTTGGATTGTTGGACTGAAATAGAATTGGTTATTTCAAAGACTCAGGACAAACTAAATAAGCTATAGTACCTTAAAAATGTACAACACAAATTGGAAGTAAAACATCTTTAAGATAAGTTTACAGAAATGATAGTGCTCATACTAATAAAGAAAAAGTGGTGTCATTAGTCGTGAATGTGTTTCTTTTGGAAATTTTACATTCCTTTGTTTTGGAAGATTGGTGGACTTCGAAGAGTTAAAAAGATAATATCGAAATGTGAAGTTTGGTAGCTCTGTTTTGTACTTGACTTTTTTGTTTTTTGACCACTTTAGAATTTCTCATTCTAATAAGATTGTTTCCAAGTCTTTCTTACGTGCAAGCTTTAAAGGATGCACTCTTGCCAATTCATGTACTGGAAGATCAGTTGTCAGATTAATACTGTTTCTGACAGAAACGTAAACTGTATAAACTGATGAACCTCAGCTAATCAGTATTACTTTGTAGATCACCATGCCTACCACATTTCAAACTCAAACTGCCTCTAGGTGTCCAAATGCATTTGTTTGAGTTTGTTTGCATTTTCCTTGGCTTGCTGGTAATTGTGGTGTTTTTAAAATGCAGATGTGATGTAATATTCTTATTTTCTTTGGATCAAAGCTGGACTGAAAATTGTATTGTGTAATTATTTTTTCGTGTTCTTAATGTTATTTGGTACTTAAGTTGTAAATAACGTCTACTGCTGTTTATTCCAGTTTCTACTACCTCAGGTGTCCTATAGAGTTTCTTCTACCAAAGTTCACTTTCACAATGAAATTATATTTGCTATGTGACTGATTCCTAAGACTTCCAGGGCTTAAGGGCTAACTTCTATTAGCACCTTACTGTGCAAGCAAATTTACAGAAATCTCTGGGTTAAGAAATTTGGCTTCATTGTATCCTTTGTTATTTTAAATATATCAAGATATTTTAATTAAAAGTTTTTACCCCATTGAACCAATTTTATATAGTATAATTTGTATGTATTTTGGTGGTTTCTGTCTTTATAGTAAATAAAAGCTTTTGAACAAATCTTGTCCTTTGCCTGTTGTAAACACCTTCAGTTTACTGATGTGAGTAAAGTTTCTGGTACACTTAACTGTTTAAACAGGATTTCATACACAATAGTCTATCTCAAGACTTAGTTTCTAGTATTAAATAACACATATGAATAATTCTTGGCTGATATAGATTTATTTTAGTTTTATCAATAAAGAATGAACAAACACTGATTTTTTTAATAATAAATGTAGGAATTTCTCTTATGAAACACTATGAACCTCACTTGCTTATTCCTTAGATAAAACACGAAATGCCTAAATTTTGCATTGCTGCAAATGTAGCTATTAATTACCAAGTTGGGCAAGCTGATTTGGTTGGATCAGTTCTGGAGCAACTGAGGTGTGTTCTGGAGCAACTGAGGTGTATCCAGGAAGTTAATCTGCTATTTCATGTTTTCAGTTAAATGATTCCGTTGCGTGTGATTTCAGTAGCAAACTTAAGCCTTTCCTTATTCAGGCTGTCTGCATGCATACTGCAAAGCTAGAGCTTGTTTCAGTTGCTTGTCTTTCTTACGATTTTTATTTTTAAAGATTTTTTTTTTATAGTTGAAAATCCAGTGTTCTGTAGCCTTTTTTGTGAGGACTAAATTCTACAGCTCCTGAGACCCCACCTGCATCACTGCGTGCAGCTCTGGGGCCCACAGTGCAACAGGGACATGGACCTGTTGGAGTGAGTCTAGAGGAGGCCATGATGATGCTCAGAGGGCTGGAGCACCTCTGCTGTGAGGACGGGCCAAGAGCTGGGCTTGTTCAGCCTGGAGAAGGTGCAGGGGAGGCCTTAGAGCAGCTTCCAGTGCCTAAAGCGGCCTACAAGAGAGCTGGAGAGGGCCTTTTTACAGGTAGTGATAAGACAATGGGGGAATGGCTTTAAAATGGGAGAGGGGGAGATTGAAATTAGACATTAGGTAGAAATCCTTAATTCCTGAGGGTGCTGAGGCGCTGGCACACGTTGCCTAAAGAAGTGGACATGCTCCATTCCCGGCAGAGTTCAAGGCCAGGTTGGACACAGGGGCTTGGAGCAACCTGCTCTAGTGGAAGGTGTTCCTGCCTGTGGCAGGGGGTTGGAACTGAATGAGCTTTAAGGTCCTTCTAACGCAAACCATTCTACGATTCTATGATCATTCTCTTTTACAGTCTCCCTTACTTATCTCCAAGCAGAGATGAATGTGTCAATTCACCAGCAAAAATTGACAACAGAAATCTTCAGTTATAATGCCTGATCTATAAAATCAGAAAAATGTGCTAACTGAAATATCAAGAAGAAAAATCTATAGTAAGGATTAAATAAAAGATAAAATGAGCTTAGTGTATCTTGCTTTATTTGATTTACGACAGAACTGAACCTTAAGAGTACTCTGTGGTGATTTCAGTGTTGCCATCTTGTTTTTAGGAGTAAGGGATGGCAGGGATCGCTGTCCCCAGCTATCAGCTGTGAGTGTCAAAGACACCTACTTACAGAAACACGTCTTCATTTGCAAAGGGCATGCTCAGTTCTTCTGCAGGCAAGTAGTAAACTGTCTGCTTTGGTTTCTCTGGCGGGAGTAACATTACACTCAGAGATGGTCACAGGCTGAAGTCTGACAGCGTTTCAGCTTCACAAGCTCCCGTTGAAAGGTAATGACTGCTTCCAGAACGTGTCGGGTTGTCACGAGGATCACGTATTTTCTTGTCAACTCGTATGCAGGGCTGCTCTGACCTGACTGCCACCTCCCGGCACACTGCATTTCCCTGCTAACGTTTCTCTCATTGCTTAGTCTTCCCTGCTGAGCTGAATCACGAATGCGAAATGCTTTTTAAGAGCCACACTATGCGCATATGGCGGCAAACGCGCGTGTTTTCTCATTGGAATCTCCAAGTTGTGAATCTTGACCTTTCTTCCCTGTTACTACCGAGGACGCCCAGCAGGTGGCAGGGAAGCGTTCTGAGGCAGCGGCTACGCCGTTTCCTTTTATTTCCCGCAGTTACCTCACTTCGCAATCTATCACCACTTGGCTCCTCTTCTGCGCCAGCACCTCCCCTTCCTCTCAGCGCAGAATTTCTCCCTTACCTCTAATCTAACTCAACCCTCTTCTAACGTGTAACTAATAACGCCGTTACCGCCCCCCTCGGCCCGGCGAGCCGGGCTCCGGGCGGGCTTCTCCCGGGTGCTCCGAACCCTGCGGGCCGCTGGCCCCAACCGACCAATGGCAG